AAATAACTGGACATAACACTGTTTACAACAAAATAATGACACCAATCTTCTAAGAACATCGTATGCTGAAGAGAAGCACTCTTTACTTACAGATCTACAGATCACCTCCTCACCTCATTTTTTTTTTTAATTTCTTTTTTCAAATAGTCAACATAGAAGCTAAATAGATGTGCTCAATTTGCTCAGAAGCCCTACTGCTGGACAAGAGTAGCGTTCCCGAAGCAGTAAACTTAACAGCTGCAACAAAACACAACCTGCTGGTACAGAAAGCAACCCAATTCTACTACTCCTCTGCAGAACACTGTATCAAATAGCTTGCTAGAAAAGTTGCAAAATCTGAACATACTGAGAGGCAGCATGAAAAACGCAACAAATGACTGAAAATTCTCTGGGATGTAACGGAGTGCACAGTTAACGGCTGCTGACCAGAGACAGCTCCCAAGTACTCAGAACACACCAACTACACAAGGCAATCTTCTCTAACTGTAGGCAAATGCACTGAAATCAGCCTATTAACACAGGAACAGTACTTGGCAACTCCAGCTGAGAGCAGTGCATCAAAAACTTAATATTATTTACATGTAGGCAAGCCAGGATGATGTCCACCTTGATCACTTCAATTTCTCCTCCTTTTAGCTCCACATACTAACTCATCTCTGCATCACCTAATGAATCCCTTTGCAACATTCAGGAATAAGAAATGGGCTTCACATTAAAACAATTTCACATCTTTTAAAAGCTCTCAAAGCAAGTTCAGCATACTTTACTCTTTCTTTATACATCAGATGGCTGTGCACTGCAAGATCTGACTTCCATCCCTGATAGCATGGGCGAGCTCATCAGCTTCACCCACAGAAGAACAGACAGCCCTCCTCACCTCCAGCTGCAACCAGACTCAAGGCAAAGCAACACACACACACACACATTTCTCTGAAAGGAAGAATTATCATATGGAATTCCTCATCAGTGCAAACAACTTAATTCTCAATAATTGATTACTCTCTTTGGAGACAAAGCAACAGCATAAGATAGCATTTTGAAAAGCATTTGACAACGCTTTTCATCACAGAATCAACCACAAAGTACTGGACTCACAGGAAAAAGAAAATACGCCTGAGCATAGCAGTGAACCGATTTTTCAAGTCTTCACAACAGATTTATAAAAATGCTACAGACATCTTAAGTCTCACAGTCCGTCCTCTTTTCCTTCTCTCCTCCCAAATTCAATCCTTTCCTTCTCCCCAAAAAGCTCCTTCAAGTTCTCAAAGATTTCTCTCTGTTACTGAGAAACAGACTTGAAGAGTAAGTTATTCAAGACATGGCTTGCAGGACTTCTCAAAACTGAGGAAAATATTCAACCAAATCAAGAGAAAGAGTCACAAGGTCACATTACATCCTTCTTATTTTCTACTAATTATGCTTCTAAATAAGTGATGTGTAACAGTAATGTAGGAAATAACAGTTATCACTGTAGGTTAAAAAAAAAAAAAAAAAAAAAAAAAAGGAAGATACCAATAATACACTAAAGTTGTAATAATAATGATAAGTAAAAGATTGGATGAATATTTTCAAAGAAGCAACCGTGATGGGTACGGCTGCTAACAGCAGTGTTACACAATATTTGGTGTTTCCAACAAAGGCAGGGAAATCCACTTCTATTCCACCACTACTTGACTTGGAACACAGCACAGCCATCATAGCACTCTGCTGGCATGAAAAAGCAAAAAGTTAAACTGCCCCACTTAGCTGTACTCTCACAACTGCCCAAAATAATTTTGCATTATGTACTAATTCCCAGTCAGGCAGCCTAAACACTGGCTTGTTAAAGAAAAATGTAACAGATCATGCATTTGAAAAAGCTTCTTTTATCCCCATCACTGACAAGAAACCAAGCTGACAGTAAGTCATTTTTAAACAAAACACAACCTATTGGACCCCTTAATGTCCAGCTCACATTTAGTCAATTTTGCATGCTTAAACTTACGCACATCTCTACCTGAGCAATTAGCCTGTCAGACCTTTCTCCTAGATGCATGGCACAACACATTGATCTGTGAGATCAATGCAACAAAGCTCAGGTTTCCCTGCCAAGAGCAGAGTGCATTACGAGGTAGGCAGAGGGAGGAAGGACAGTGGCTGGATGGCATTTAATGCATCCCTGAGAGACTGGGAAGGACCCCAGTCAGTGTCTTATGCAGAGGAGGTAGCTGTTTCTCCTCCCCTCCAGCCAAACACAAAGGCTTTGTGTCAGGGTTTAACAGAGCAGGAGTGGCACAACACAAAACACTGAGAAACACAGAAACTGCACATCTCCTTTTTGTTATTTGATGTTACTGAGCATCAATTCATTCCCACTAGATAAACGAGTCTCAGCTGAAACAGAAAACACAGGAGTATATTAGCACACTACATAGCACAAATTCACATGCTAAGCAAGTGTTTAACCTTAGGTATCCATACACAGAGAATCAGCAGAAGCTTGTCAGTTAGAAATCAGTTTCTAGCTGGGGAAACATCACACATCCTTCTCTTTTAATTACACTCTAAAATCTTTCTTGATTTAATCAGTTACTCTAGAAAAACCTCTCTGGAATTTGTGATGTCAGAGATAAGAGAAACTGCCGCATGCAGAAGTAGTGCCACAACCACACCAAGCCCGACCAGCATCTTGATGCTCCGTCCTCACACACGGCTCTTCTCATTTTAACCCCTCACACTTCCAAAGTAACATATCTAAAAGGATGCTGGATTTCAAGAGCACAATGGTACATCAAAGATGAACAAAGTATTTGCCAGAAGCAAATCCATCTTCGCATTTTTATAACTGCAGTATCTTCATTTTCAAAACAACTTTTCACAGATAAGGAAATGCATTACGGCAGTCAGATTTTCTTACAGACTAAATCAACGTCAACGAGCACACTTCTCATTTATGAACTTAAGAAAGTTTTAATACTTTGTAAACATAGTTCACACTGTAAAGCAGAGGGATCATCATAAAGAAGTATTCTGTGACATTAACATAGAAAAGAAGCGGTAGATACATTTGCGCCATACCATTAACAGGCACCTCAAATATTTCCAAAACTAAACAAGCAGTGAAGCAGCTTTCATCTTTTGTTTGCTCAGGTACGGCAGCTGAAACCATCTGACATACACAGAGGCATGGCATTAACTATGGAGAATATATAAAAACTCTCGTCGGCGGTGGTTTTGTTCCTCCAGAACGACAGCACGGAAACTAATTCTACGCTTTAAGGCCAACACAATTCCAAACTGAGAGTACATTTAGTCTGGGGGTTTTCAACCTTCCCATCAATACACATTTTCTGAATAACTCTGAATAATTCACCCAAAATTCAACTGGTTCTGCACACCCGGCCAAAGAGAGCTATTACGAGCTATTTCATAACCCATTTTCCACAGTCCTTTCCGTATTAATAATGAATAGCGTTGGCGCTTCCCAAAAGGCCGTGCTCAGAAGCAGCACGGGGCTCTGCTTTGCCCACCCCCTCCCCCATCCTGCGCTGACATTACCGGGTTACCGGCCCCGCTCCGATCTTTGTCCCCTCCGCTCCCGCTCCAGCGCCGTACTCAGGGATGCGGCCACAAGCCCGGGGATCCCAGCAGCCTTCGGAGCGAGGCATTCCCCTCTCCCTTCCTTCAGGAGAAGAGCACGCAACGACGCTCTTCTAAACGCCGTCCCTACGCAGCCCGTATGTTTACTACTATCCGTAGCGAGCACACACCGCGGCCTAGCCAGGCGGAGCCGCGTTCACGTACCGATGCCCCCGCTAATGGCTGCGAGACTCGGGGCGGCAGATTGCCGGCCGGCCGGACCGCACCACACCGCGCCCTGCCGCCCGCCACAACGCTGGGCCGGCGGTGCGGCTGCACAGAGCCGCGAGCCCGCCCCACGGCGCCGTTCTCCTTGCGGCAAGCGAGAGGGAGGGACGGAGCGTCGGTAAATCCCAGCCCCGGGGGGAGGCTAGGAAACGCCGGGCCCTCTCCTTGACCCCCAGACCCACCCGGGCCGCGACCCCCGCGCGGCCCTCGGCCCCGAGGCGGGCGCGAGGCAGCCCCGCGTCTCCTCACCTGGAACGGAGCCGAGGCGACGGCGGTTCCTCGGGGCGCCGCGTCCCCGCGGGTCCCTGCGGAGCACGGTGCCGCCCGTCGCCGCGGCGACGGCCTGCGGGCAGCGGGGCGGGGGGAGGCTAGAGAGGAGGCCCCCGGCCCAGCCTCCGCCCCGTGGCGTGCGGCGCGGTCTCTATAGCGACTGCGGTGCCGGGCGGGAGCCGGCCCGCCCGCGGGGAGGGGTAACTGATGCGCGCGGCGCCGAGGGCCGCTCGGAGCGTTACGGGCGGCCCGCGGCCCAATCCGCAGGCGTTAACCCGCGAGCCGCCGCCATCCCTGCGGCGGTCCCGCTCCGAGCGCTGCCACGCCGCTACCGCCGCCGCGGTCTCCCTTCCCCTGCCGCGGCGCCACCGAGTCCGCCGCGCTCCGGCACCCGCCCGCCGCCATGCTTCCGGAGCGCCGATTGGGTGGCCTCGGAGAATTCTGCCAGCCGATTGGCTATCGGCCGGGTCAGTCACGGCGGCAGAGGCGGGCACACACGAGGCGGTGCTTAGCCCCGGGTTGGTTGAGATTCCCGGAGCCCCGCTATCCGCCCCCGCGCAGCCTCGGGGCCGCGGGGCCCTCTGGGCAATGCAGTCTCCGGGCGGAGCCGACACCGCCGTTACTCGCGGCTGTTCGGAGGGAGCGACGGAGACCCGGGCGGCTCCGCGCTGCAGTGTGCGGGAGCCGCATTCCCCCGCTGCAGTGTCGAGGTTCGCCTCGCGGCAGCGCGGGGCCAGCCGGACCCCGGTGTCGCCGGGGGTGCCCGAGGCTTAGGCGGGAGGGGACCCGTCCCCGCCAAAAGCAGGAGCCGCCCACCTCGAGCAGCCGGGCTGGCACCCCGGGCTACGCGCTGAGGCAGCGGAAAGGCACTGGTGCAGCTTGGCCACCGGCCGGCACGCTCGGTGAACGGTTCGGCTCCAGAGCGTGACACCTCCTTAGAGGCAAGAAGCTCCAGCCCTCTGAACGCCGTCGGTACGTGCGGGCACCACGTAACGGCTGGCAGGACGGGTCCGTAGGCCGCGGCGGCAGCCCGGCAGCCAAAGACCCGTCCCGTGGGAAGGACAGACCTGGCCTGAACCCAGCAGCCTGCGTGAAGTGGGTAACACACTGCAGTCTTATGTTCACGTGAAGTTTTCTTTGAAGGGAGGAAAGAAAGGATTTATATTTCCCTTGTGCCAGGCCGTGAAGATGATGACAGTGCGCATAATTGAGGCTCTCTTCAGTCACTGCAAGGAGAGCTTAGTCAGGGAGTAGGGTTAGAAAGCAGCGTCTCCTACTGCTGCTTTATGAGTAAGCAGGATCTTCGTGCTCCCACTGCACACCAGTGAGCCCCTAGCAGGGGGGCTGCGACCCCAACCTAACAGCAAAGCCTAACTGCCCTTACTATTTCTAAGAGTCAGCTTCAGGCAGGTGTGTCTTCATTCAGAGAGAACCAGCTTGAGCAGCAGTACAGCAGTAGCCACATGGATAGAGGTGATGAGGATTTATTTTTATGTATATATATATATGTATACATGCACATAATGTGTCCTTGCAAATGTTACTGGCACTTGAGATCACAGCTGCAGCTCATGCTGGTTTTGAGCTACAGTTCTTGAATACTTAATAGACCTAATCCTTTGGCTAGGCCCCAGCTCTTTGCATACAACGTTCTGGGTCTAAATTTTCAATGAAAAAAGTTTCTAGATTTTCTGGATACTGAGTTCATGTTCAGTGTGTACATTCTCTCTTTTTACTGTTGAAATAGTAACATTAGAAGGTGCTAATGTTCTTATCCATTGCTCAGCAGCTAAACATCATCACATAGGGAGCTCATTCCCCACGCCTTACTGTTCCCTAATTAACTCAGGTGCCTAAGTTGTACAGTTCTTCAGGAAAACTTTTTAAATTCAGTTAAACAGAAAGGAAAGGCCTTAATCCAAGGGGCACAGTTTTCCTCATCAGTTTGTAACTTCACAAGTTAATTCACAGGTTCCAATATAACCACATTGGCATGCACAATATCACAAATGTCCCACCATCAGCACACGTCTTCCACATACCATTAGTCAGCATGTGCACTGCAAGCTGTAGAAGACCAAACTCTTCTTTTTCCTTTGTCAGTTAGCTTTCAAGTTCTAGCAATGTGTTGTGTCACCTGTTTTCCATTTCCTATGGAATCTTCTTAAGTAGACAAAACCTGCACGGTTCAAATAAAGTCAAGCAGGGAAAAATGAACTAAAACTGAATCTTCTCAACAGGAAAATCTATTTCCACTTAAGTGCAGGAGGACTTTGCAAAAAGAACACAATCTTGAATTTACTGCTCCATGAATGTACCAAAGAGGTTCTTGAAGTTCTACTATTACATTGCCAGTTCTAATTGGCTATTTCAGTGTAAAGGTGTGCAACTTTTTGCAGTTTAACTCCAACCTTGTTCTTTCCAACCCACCCTTGTATTATCTTGGTAACTATCTTTGAATGGTAACTATCTTATATTCTGCAACATCTCTTTCACAATAATTTTGGAAGCTGGGGGACTAAAAGAGGAATTGACAGTAAGGAGTGTATCTAAATAGGATCTGTTATTGGTCCTCTGAGAGACAGACTAGAGGATGAGGTATGTGCATAACCAGTCTGACCCCACAGGGTACCTCATATGTTCTGATGTAACTGTACTTTTGTAAGGGAGTTTGTCGTGCAGTCTTTGAATCAATATATATGAGCAGAGAGCCACCTCTGCACCTGCACAGAATAATAATGCGTGTCCTAGACCCTCACATAAAAGAAAGCTCTTAAAAACATACTCAAGTGCAGTAGCTTAACAGAGAGAAACGTTTAGCTCTGATGTAGCTGTGAATTCATCTAGTCATGTTTTGTATACTGGTACTTACACAGAAGGAAAAGAAGAAATAAGAAAGGCTTCAAGCTGCTACACATCTTGGAGTCTATTTCTACTATGAATAAATTTTCATATGTACATTTTATCTTTGTTTGTGCCTGTAAAGAGCATACCTACATATTTATCTTTGGAACTATTATATCACTTCCATTATTTCCAAGAAACAAACTGAAATTAAGTTAATGTTCGTATCATAAATCATGCTAAAAATATCACTTTTATAGATAAATGTTCAAAAACAGAAGAAGGGGCAGCTCACGATTTGCAAAGTTTCTGAAACTCTTGAGTTTCAGATACTTCTGAGAGAATTTCACTTTGGGTTGGAGAAGAACAACTTCTAGAAAGAACTGTCTGCTGGTTTAGATGTCCAGACAATTATATCAGCAGACAATCTGTTGATTACAAAACAGGGAAAAATTACTTAGGAATTTTTTCTTATTTAATTGTTGTAAAACACTGTGAATGGACACCACTGCATTTGTTTTGAAGATTTTTAAATGTCTCAAGTGGTCAGAAAAGCAAAATCAGTCAGTAAAACACAGTGTGTTTTGTCACAGATCAATCCAAAATATCTTTTTGTCTCCTTGCAATCTTGCTGCAGACCAGAACTCCGAAGCTAGAAAGTAAGAGGATTACTGTCAAATTATTCCCCATTCCAAAGGCACACCTCACAAAACTTTATTGTAACTGATTAGTCACTATGTAAAGCAAACAAATTTAGCATTTTTGTTGTGCTGGTAGGAAAACTGAGCTCCTACTGTATGGGTTGTTGTTTTGTTGGTTTTTTTTTTTTCCATAGAGTGTGATTTCTAGACACAAACTGTCAGTAAAACATTATGTCACCACTAAAGGGACAGAGGGATCTTGGATCTTTTTCAGAAGAACACAGAAGAGCAGTGTCCAGTTCCTGTTTTTTTCCTACTCAACAGCTTCAGAATCATTATTCTCTTTTTTACAAACATCTCTTCACTGAATCTTTTTAAAAGAATACCAACTCTCCAACAAGATGTCCTGAGTAACGTTGTTTAATTCCAGTATTATCTAGAGAGTGAGAAATGACATCAGCATCAGTTTTATAAAGCAAGAACAGGGAGGATTCATGGTTAGTATAGGAGGCCCTGTATTTTAGAAGAGAAACGTAAAACTGTATGTCTGAATATTTTGCTAGGAAACAAGAGGTTTATTAGCACTGTAGTGCACCAAAAGTATTGATGCTATGAGTTACGGAATTGAAAAAGGAAATTTTACCTCATTATGTAAAGGGAATTTTGTTTTAAGCCCTCATAATAAGCGTATAATTCCATTTTGCAGAAAGCTTCCTGAGGGCTGGCTTGCTGCAGTATCTAGGGAGTGAAGGTGAAAAACAAAAATTGCTATATGGTCTCATTATGAATAATGCTGTAAAAATTCTGATCTTCAAAAAATAGTTATAGCCAAGACGGAAGGAGTTTTAGGTAACCAACCTAAAATACAGATTCACTTTCTGGTTTTACCGTAGACTGCCAGCCTGTTTCTAAGGTGAATACACCACTTCTGTACCTTAGTTTTCCAGTTATAATGACTCACTGTGAGTCTGAAGTGGATGACTCAGAGCTTATGGACAGCGCGGCTACAAATGGACTGAAATCAGAGCCAGCTTCGTAGATACCTATTTGGCATTTCCTGGAACGTGCAGGGGCCCCAAAGGCTACCAGTTAAAGAGCAATGCAGTTCATGCAAGACTGCTATAATTTCCCGTTTGCCTGAAATTGGGTTCTGCATCCACATAGCTGTGAACTTTAAACATCTTAAAGTTAAAATTATAGTATTTCTTTCCTGATTCATTTCATCTATGAAGAGCTTTTCAGGCAATGAAATAGGTTAAAAATATGATAAATTTGACTGTGTTCGCAGTAAGCTCTGTGGCATTCTAGTGTACAAAGTGGGTTATTTCAAACTGCCATCTATCCTCATTACCTCTTGCCATGAGTTTTGACATTATCTCAGCCATCCCTGCAATTCCATAAGATTTTCAACTGTTGTTATGTAATTTAGATCCCTTTGTCTAACTGCAAGAATCATAGGCACATCTAAATACCACTATATTCCTAAAAGTTCAGAAATGTAACTGAGAGATTAATATTCTGACCCAGTTGCTTTTATTTGCCCAACAACTTACACCTGTCAGCATCTACCAGGTCAAAAAAAAAAAAAAAGCACATGGTCTAAATTTCTTTTTTCAAGCCCCCTCCACGTTTATACAGGTTGGTGAGAATCTCTTCCTGTGTATGAATTCTCCCTCTGAAGTGCTGACATACTGAGGAAAAGTTGTGTGATACTTGTGTCAAACTTAGTTTTAGTCCATTATTCCACAATCTCTTTCTCATGAAATACCATTTGCATTAAACAGAAGAAAAAACTGAAAGTCACCTAAATACAAAGTAGAAACATTAATTTTTGAAAACAAGACACAAAATATAGTTCTGCAGCATGCAACACCACTAGTAGGTATTTAATTGGTCTAACTCATAACATAGCTGCCCTTACAGACTTACATATGAATAGTACTAAACAGATTGGACAAACACTTAATCCATTTATACCTCTTTCAGATCTGAAGCTGCAGCACAGAAATCTTCCCTGTTAGTAGGACGCGTGTTTTCTTTCTGCATCACTGGCTGACAGTTGACAGACCCACAGCTACAACTGCTCCTGCTGGGTTAGAAAATGCTGCTCAATCATTATGGTCTTGGGGTTCAGGTTTTCCAGAAGGTCTATAATAAAGCAGCACATCGTGGCTAGTCATAGATGAGTATAAGACAACTGATGTGTGAATAATTCAATTCTGAATATTAACTTGGCAGCTGAAACAATTTTCCAGTGAAACAGAACAAAAAGCACAGGTAGCACTGATCTCTAATTCCATGAAGATTTAAGTTATTTTTTAAAATGATGCATTCCTGAGCTTCCATTACTGACTGAGTGACCTTTAATCTCATCTCTCTAGCTGAAATTAAGTTACTTGCTTTGCATGGTACAAAAAAAACCTACATACAGCAGCACTGCCACCTTCTGTTTGCTTTTTTTCATGCATGTGAGAACTGGGCTCATATTGCAAAGCAACAGGTCAGATTTGTTTTTCTTCTAGTAGGTGTCTTAGGCAATAATGCTATTTCTAATACTGAGGGATAACACAGGTCTTTTTTAAAAATAATGTTTTTAAAATGCTTTTTTAAAAGCATTATCTGGGCAGAAAAAAAAATTGATCCAGGATTGCTAATACACCACATCCCAGTCAGAGCAGTAGCTCAAAAATCCCAAGTAAGCTTGTACATTTTGTACATATATACAGTTGTACTATTGCACATTCCACAGGGAATATATGCTGAATACGATCCACATATGTACACAACTGAACAGATGTGATGTATTCCTTGCAGTCTGCAGAAGTATAGAAAACCTAAAGCATAAACAATCCACGTGCATAGGACAAACTTAGTTTGGTTAGGTGTATTTGATCACCTGCAAGCATTAGCCTGATTCACGTGCAGTAAGGGTCCCACACGTAGCACAGATACTCCAAATCTGAAGTTTCCTGAGTATGCAGTACATTAGCACACAGGCAAGACAGAACTAGAAGCCCTTCTTCAGATATTCTCCTTAAAAACGTAAGGCTATGGAAAACTCTTTTGTTTGTTTGTTTGTTTGTGAAAGGAAGATGCCAGCAAAATGCACATTGAGTATGACTCCACGCACTCCCATACTCTTAAGGACGCTGCGGTTTGAATCTGCTATGCTGTTCTAGATATTGCTTTGATGGATGGAGCTTTCAGCATAAGCATTAGTTATGAGTTTGATCGTATCAGAAGAAGAAATCAAAAAGACACTCTCGCCGTATGTCTTTATCCTACTGAGACATGTCCTTGGTTTTTTCACCTCATGGAGGCACAGTGATACTGGCAGTGATGAGCCTTCCTCTTCAACAGTGTCACATATAAGATTATGACTTCCAGCAAGTAAGCTAAAAGTTTTTTTCTTATAGCAGTGTGCTTAGGTACAGTAATCTCTGCTTTGCTCAAGACTTTGAAGAACCGAGCTGCATTGATAACTCATCTTCCACCTTTCCCAGATAATAAGCACAATATTCATGCATGCGAAGGGGTGTTTACCCTTAGAAAAACCCTAGAGCATACGCAAGGCATATTCCCAGAATTCCCATGCTTATTCCAAGGATACTTGCATTCACATTACAATCACATTGTATTGCTTATCATCAGCTGGGAGAAGACAGTTAATGCTTCTGAGACTATCCATATTCATGACAGTCTGTGGTGCACAGCCCTTGCAGTCGCTTGTGCTCCCTGAACCATTGTGCTAAAGGTATTATAAACCCTATAGAACAAAACAGGGCTTTCTTAGTGACTCCATCATGGTACTAACATCACCACTATCATGATCAAGCACTGCAAACTCAGCTTGCTGCTGCTTCTGCAGCCAGTTCAACTCAGCCAACAGATTGACAGCTCTGAGCAGAGCTCAGAAATGACAGAGGAGGATAATATGCATTTGCTTCTGGCTTGGCTAAAGCTTCTAAGAATCTAGGAGAGAGGTTGCAGTTGTACTGCTCTTGAATCTGTAAAGTTTCCAAAGCCAGAATCTACTGTGAGTCATATACGATGAACTAATTGTCTCTGGTTACTTGAATTTGTCTCACAGTCAGCCAATACACAGTGAGAGGTGACCAATTCCATACAAAGCAACAACATATAGAATCATGGATAAGTTATATCATAATTAATGCCTTAATGCCTTAAAATTTAATTAATCATAATTAAATCTTAATTTGCTCTTTCACAGAACCACACAGTTTCATTATTCTCTCTCCCAGACTCATATTTATTGATAATTTGTTTTTATTTGTTGTTGTTATGAAGACATTAACAGATACTGATGAAATCTCTGCTTCTTACTAGCCCAAACTCATGAGGAATAAAAAAAAACATTATCATAAACTCAACTGGTCACTGAGGTCTCAGTTCACACTCAGTTAATCGGCCTGTTTTGCAGGATTGAACCCAGTGGCATAAGAACCTTGAAATACGATTAGAGATGCAAGGGAGATTAGCACGGGCAAGAGAGTTGAAGTCTTGCACCATCTCCATTGGTGTGTCAGCATAAAGACAGAACTACACAGACATCAGGAAATCAGTACTTCGCCCTTCCTCAGGATGCCAGATCCAGATATTTTCTCCCATGAACTCAGCAAGGTGTCAGTTTTGTGACCTCACCCAGTCCTGTGAAGCAGGTTTGTTGTTTCTTTTGCAATAAGTTAATAATAATATTAAATCTGTGCCTAGCTAAAAGGGCTATTTTAGCAAAATCAGTGAGATAAGATGTAAATTGTTTCTAAAAATTTAGCTTGCTATTTTGTCATAAACTACATCTAATAAGTACATTTTATAAGCAAATAAAAAGCTGTGATGTGTGTTGTTGTATGTTTGAAATCAAAGGAACAGGTAAGTGGCACCTGGAAAGTAAACAGCTACACTGTGCTGAGGTTCAAATTTAGTTCAAATTTAGACAAGAAAAGCTCAAGAATAGGATTGGTGATGTGGGAAACATCTCCACATTTATTGGTGTTTTTCTGTTGAAAGAAATGTTCCTCCTTTTACAGAATAAAGTCCAGCCTTCTTTCCCACTACAAGGTGGGAAAAAAAAAAACTGTATGTACACACTATAATTCTGGAGTGGCTCATATGAAATACTGAGGTGTGCTTCCAAAAACTTAGATAGGCAGGTTAGTTCCTCTGATCTGCTAGGAGCACATGTGACTTTGCAGTAGTCTCACAGATAAAATTTGGAGAAGAGTATATGTGCATTGCAGAATAAGACAGTGACACTTCTAGTTTAAAATTGTGCTTCTGTTCTTCCAGCTGAAAAAACGTTTCTTTGCAGCACTCAAAACAACAAATATGTGGCAGTGCTGAATAAATATATCCAACACTTCACTGAATAGTTAGGGATATAAAAACATTATGGTATATTTACAGAATTTGTTATAAAGGGAAGAGAGTCTTCATATTACCTGAAATAAATGCAGTAAACATTGGTGCTAAAAACAAACAAACAAACAGAAGCTGGGTACACTTGATCTTCTAAATCTGGTGTTGCCAAAGACTAATTTGTCAGGAATAAATGAGGTAAGTTGTTCCTCTGTCTCAGACTCAAGGCACTCATTGTATGAGAAGCACAGTGCTGAAGATACTTTGTGCAATTCCAGCTCTACCAGTGACAGCCAGGGTCAGACAATAAATGGTCGCTGCACTGCACCTACCTCTGTTTCCCTCTTGTGGTATGGCTTATGTGAAATAGCTTGTGTTAGGCAAATTTTCTACTGCTGAAGAACTGTGGTGCAAGTACCTCTATTAAATGAATGTGAATACTCTATACATTCTGGTCTTGTAATTAAAATTTCATCAAGAAAGCTTGAAATAGCATTTGAGAATTATTGAAGGCACAGAATTACTTGTTTTTGCACATGCAAGTTCCAGGTTTTTAGCTTTAGTCATCTGAGGATGGGGAGGAAGCTGTAGGACAATAACTGCACAAGACTGACTGTGTCTCTTTATGAAAGTCAGCTTCAGATTTCTTTATGGCTAGAATGCTAAAATAGGAAGCCTAAAATTTACATCCTCCAAAATAAAAAACAGCAGATTAAGTGAAAACAGAATAACTTACAAACTTTGTTCAAATGTTAAAGCAAAAGATGTTCACCAAGTCACTACCTTTTGGTGTGACACTGCTAACTGAATGTGTGTCTAACAATTTAGAAGCATTTTGCAAATAGATGCATTTCACAGAAATGAAGAGCAACGTATTCACAAACCCCAGGCACAGAACGTGAAGCCTGTATCAGCAATTTCATAACAACAGATTCCCTCTACTGCATGCTCAGAGACTTGAGTATTCAAAGCAAAGACTATTTGCAGCAGCCATTTACAGCTATTTCAGTTTAAGTCATGAACTGCTTAACTGGTGAAGCAGTTAAGGCTACTGTCTGCAGGCTTAGCAGACAGGCTGTCAGCTGAATTGCTATGGTGGCTTAATCCTGTTCCAGCAAAGTATGATTCTTTTGAAAGAGGGCTGAAGTATTTCATGGAAGAATAGTGTGAAAAAGGTACTGTTACTTTACGAATATTCTCCAGACTTCTTTGTACAGAGATCTTTATAAAAAAAAAAAGTATTTCACCATGATAACCAAAATAATTATAACAATATTACCACAATAAATACTCAACAATAATTGATAATCAGCCTTAATTATTAAACTAGGCACCTGTTTTTAAAATCAAGCAGTGACAATAGCCTAAACCTCTTCAGTATTTTTCCTTACTGGCTTCATTTCCATTTGCACAGTATTCTGTGTATTGTGCAAGAGACACACAGAGGTGAACAGTTTTAAAGGAAATCAATTTCCTCTCTGTACGCAGCAAAAATAAATGCAACATGAATAATTTAGATATCATAGCCATTCAAATGTTTTAATATTCAAATCACATCCTAATACGAAAGGAAGAACCTGTACAAACAGAACTGATTCATTCCAACACACACATGAAAACACCATGGTATCATTACCTCTTTTAACTGCACTCTGCAGCAGTCTACTTGCCTAATATTAAGCTTCATTGCAGCTGTGGATCCTTTGATGGGCAGTGTATAGCCCCTACTTCCAGAAGGTTTGTCTGCAGGTGGTTTTCATGCTGTTTTAACTTAAGTAGTAAGCTTAAAAGCAAATATGCATGAATAAAGCTGCTTAAATTTCCTTCTTTCCTCAAATTATAGGATTATGTTTTACTGTTTATAAATGCCATTGTAGTAGCAGAATCACAAGGATGACATAGAATCATGTAAATACATATTTGTATAATATAAAATCACTAATGAAAATTACTGAATTAGAACATAACCATGCTGAGAGCAGGTTTTGTGAGCAGGAAAGAAGTTCTTGCACGTGTTAAGTAAAGGCAATCACAAAGCATCAGAAGCTATAAAGGATGGCAAGAGATCACCATTTAATCCTGAGGTACTGCAGCATAGTTCTGCATTCACATCACGTACACTGAAAACATACTGTCTCCAGCTCTAGCAGGTTTGTGTCTTGGACTGCTTCCTGCCTGTGAATGTGATGTAACTGCAGAGGTACAAAGAAGTCAGTAGTAGTCTTATAGAAACCATAACGATACAGAGAAGCAAGGCAAAATGTGATGAAAAGATAGTTCCTTAGATTGGCTAGTTGCTGGGGAAAAGATGACAGATCTTGAAACTCAGAAGCCATTCTTTAGCTGTGAAAATATTAAATTTGAAACTAGGTGTGTATGGGTGGTTGTGAGAAATTGAACTTATCTTATGCCCATCACTGTGGTCTTTTGAGAGAAAAATGTAAGTGACTATATATTATCTGGGCAAGTTAGGAAAGGACAGTACCTTTCTTACTTACCAGGACATAATACAGGTGCATCAAAAACAAGCTAATAAACTCCTTTTGGCAACCCTGGACTCTGAAATGTTTACACAAGAGAATGGAAATTATTCCAATGGACTGTGAAGAAGTCAAGGCTGCTGCAGAAAGTGCAGCCATTAAGAGACTTCAGCAGCAATTCTTTTCCCGAAAATAATTCTTCATGGAAAAAGGCTTATATGGTTACACTATATTTATCTGCCTGCTTATCCAGCTTTTAAACCTACATATGGCCATGACACAGTAATCTAAGAATTATAATTTCCTAGAATCAAGAAAATGACAGGAATGTGTAGAACAAGAAAGCATCATTAGGCTTCTGAAGGGACAAATCAGTGAGCAGATCAGCTCACTTCTAGATATCAGAAAATCCACACAGATGACTGCTCTCGAGATGAAAATGTACAGAAATCCACCATTCATTGTTTCTTATGGTCACTTGTTTTTAATTGATCTAGTCTAATTTCATAAGAGGTATTCTATGAAACTTAAGCAAGACCTGGGGCACTCCCTTGGCAGGTTTCAGGTGCGTGAGGCAGTACAGGAAGATCTTGGTATGCTTTATAAATAGCCAGTCAAACAGACATTAATCTCTCTCTCTCTTCTTCAGATTTCTACTGCATGCCTTGGATACATGCTTCTAAGCAGCTTATGGGCTTTCCGTGACCTACGCTTCTTTTCCTAATGCTGATCTGACTATGGCTGTCCTCAAAGTAAAATTCACCAAAACTAAGAGGGACAAACTGGCTCAGATCCTATGGATCCTCAACTGGGTTTCTGTAGTGAGTGGGATCATTCTCTTCAGTCTTGGCCTCTTTCTGAAAATAGAGATCAAGAAGCGCAACGAAGTGATGGCAAAAGGGGACATTAACTCTGTTCCCAACATGCTGATCTCTGTAGGAGTCATAGCATGTGTCGTCAACTTTTTGGGGGGCAAAATCTGCTACGACTGCTCAGATGCCAACAAGTTCTCCCGATGGAAGCTAATTATGTTCCCATACATCATATGTACCTTCTGTTTTACTTTCTGCATCCTGTTGGGTGCTCTCATGTGCTATACCATGAGGAATGAGCTGGAAGAATCTCTCTATCTGGGACTGAGGGATGCTATTAAGTTCTATAAGGACACAGACATACCTGGAAGATGTTTCTTAAAAAAAACAGTGGATATGTTACAAATTGGATTCCAGTGCTGTGGAAACAACGGCTTTAGAGACTGGTTTGAAGTTCAGTGGGTATCTGCTCGTTACCTGAACATGGCTTCTAAGGAAGTTATGGAGTAAGTATTTACTAGTTCTAATGGAAAAATCTAGGGAAAAAAACTCCTTCAAGAAGGACTAGAATTGATCAGGAACAGTAGTGTCAAAAGATCGAGACATATTGACATTAAAGACAACACAGTAAGACTGATTCTTTTCTGCCCAAAATGCTAGCAGTATTCCCTCCTTACATGACAACTTGTGGCTAGGTTTCTCTCAAAGATCCATCCGAATAATTGCTAACAAGTCTACCTCAATATATAATGTAATCATATGCATATTTACAAACACTCTGGTACTTTAATGTAAATTCTTAGTAAATAATAGCAGTAATAACACTTTTTCAAGATTACTTGTTTCTCTTAAAAACACAAATACAGAAGTGATCAGGCCAAAAAGATCCTTCTGCTTATACTTAATCACTCTGAGTTTCTAGCATACACTTCACAGAGCCAAGTAGATAATTTTCGCTGGATCACTGTCTTAATCACAAAACTGTAGACTGACAACGTTACTCCTGAAATATGCTAAAACACATACATAATGACAAGTCATCTTTTGATAACTTTTTAAGGATACTAAGCAATGCAACGATACGCTTTCCTTTTTTAATGTAGCAGATTATCTACCTCAAAATTTCAGTCGTAAAGAGTTGTAAAAAGAAAAAAAAAGATTTTCCTACCAATACATCATGCATTCAATCCTAAACATTGAAAAATTTTCCCTTCACATTTCCCTTCACATACTAGACTAGAATTCAGGTTCAGATTTACAGGTTCACATGTCAACACCGTGTACCTTGCAGTAAAAAAGTAGAAAAACCCTTGATATTTGTTCTTATGTTGGTGCCTCACAGAATTGTGAAGTGATATTCTCAAAACAAAGAGTGATAATTTCCATAGACAACAGTATTTTAGATGGTAGCAGTCAAAAATACAAGAAAAAAAAGTAGCAGATAATCCAATATACATCTTCAAAAGCTGAAAAAGTCTTCACTGATGAGAGCCAGGCAGCTATATATTCTTAGGAAAAATAAATACAAAAGTTTAAATGGCATTTAAGGAATATTCTGCTTTGTCGAAAAAGGGGGAACAAAGCCAGATGAAAGAAGGCCAGTGATCTTCTTTTAACAGAACTTGTAACTTGAAGATGGCCCTACAGCAAAGCATATAAACAGAGATGCAAAGATACCAAAGGACAGGACCTGTGAAACAAGGACATCAGCATGCATTAGGCAGTTGGCTAAGGAAATAACAAGCTTTAGAACAGATGTTCTAAAGGAAGATGTTAGGGAACAATAGTGACACAAAGCAAACTGACTCAAGGTGTTTTAAATCCTTGTTCTACTCTGAAAAGTCGTAAGACAACAAATATAGTCTGCAGGAACTTACAGTAGTACCCTATTGTATGGATATAGGTAAAACATAACTTTTTATTTCTGTGAGCCACGTACTAAGAGTAATGCTTTGTCCAACTGAACTCAGTTTTCATCTACAAAGTCATCTGTGCTCTGCCAACATTCTGGAAATACAGTTAATTTTTCTTATCCCCATGTAGAAAGAAGACAATACATGAAGAAGATAAATACAGCACAGAACTTCTACTGCATATAAACTAGATAATCTCATCTCAGTCGCTAGAATCAAAGTTGGTACTGTATAGGCAAATCATACTATGATTTTCACAACCTTGTAGGGAAACATTTGGTAAGAAATCACTAGATCCAAAGTCCAGCTTGTAATGTTTAGAGAGGGTGGAGAAGGAATCAAATCTTCTTCGTTTTATCTTGTAGTGTATGTCAGTTAGTACTTGGTAGATTAAGAGGCAACGCAGTTGAGAACTGACATACTTAATAAGAATCTCTACGGAACTGAACTTTTCACCTTCCTTCATAATCCTCTTCTCTTCCCTCTATCACTTCATTACCAATGCCACAACATCACAAAAAACAGAGTCCATCTATGGGAGCAGTTTAGGATGTTAAGTTTAAGTTTAAGGATGAAGCAGTTTACAGCAGTACAATCCTATCATTGCTTTGGTTAGGCAAAAATAATCTTTTTATAGTCTCATAAGCAACTTTTGCTTCATAGTTTCATTACAATTTTGAAATACAACAGTAGTTAACATCTTACTTTCTCAGTTTTTGTTACTGAGCTCTCCCCTTCCAGCAATATCCAGATACAACTTCCTCCAGTTTGTTACAAGGAAATACAATGGCAAGGGGAACATAACCAAACTCTGGAACTGTTACCATTTACAGCAGAAAGAAGTTTATCACCTTATCACATACATGGCAGGAAAAGAGAAAAAAAAAAGCTTCAGATCAAAAGTGAAGCTTAAGAGCTAGCTTAAGTGATTGTATTTCAACCATTTCAGATGCTGTCCTATTGTTTTAGTTTACATCACTGAAACATACAGCATTAGACTTGTTCAGGTAAAAGCCACCATTTCACAACCAACCCGTCTTCCTCTTCATTTTCTGTACAGTTTCTTTTCCCCACATTTTGGCCCTCTTTTCTGTACCTCTGTGGCTCCCCTCATTTTTCTACATTTTGCCTATGTCACTTACACTGTTTGTACACTTAATTCTATTTTCAGTTGTGTTCTTTCACATTAGTTTCCCTGCTTCTGTTACTTGGAGCAGGTTGGCCACAAAGTGAAGAGCTAGATGTTAAAAAGAAAAGGCATTATGCCTAACTTGCTCCTCAGTGGGAAACAGCAAATGGTCTTCCTTTTGTAATTGGAAATATCTGTTAAAAATATTTTCCTCAAAGAAAATTTTAAATATATATATATATATATATATATATATATATATGAAAGAGAAAGGAGGCACAAAACAATAATATGAAGGCAATTATTCTGCCATGCCAGCACTGCCACAAATGCTGAGACTCCTTTCAGCTTATGTTTCTTTTGAAAGAAACACTTAGTTTCTAAATTCTGGACCACAGAGTTCTACTGCTTATGTTCACCTGGTCAGCTTCTTGCAATGCCTGCCTTCTCTTTCATTTAGAAAATCTGTAGCAGAAATGGAAAAATAAATTTTATAAACAAATGAGGATAAACTCTAAAATCATCTTTAATATTCTCGGTGAAAACAAATCTAGAAACATATCGTATCTGTGTACATCTTACACGCATAATACCAAGAGCCATATTGAAAACTGTGCAGATACCATACTGAAAAGCATTGCAAATGAAAAATTTGGTTTTCTTGTAGTGAGCAACATTTCCAATTGGAAATGAGATTTTTTTTCTCTTTTGTTACACTGGAGAAGCCTATCTCGCAGCAGACAAATTCCATCCTTTTAGAAAAACTACGGATGCATCCTGCTGTAGATACCACAGTTGTAATGCAAACTTTCTGTCCTTTTGCAGCCGTTTCAAGAGTAATGTTGATGGGAAGTTCTTAGTGGATGGAGTACCCTTCAGCTGCTGCAATCCAAGTTCCCCACGGCCCTGCATCCAGTACCAGCTGACAAACAACAGTGCCCACTACAATTATGATTTCCTGACAGAGGAGCTCAATATCTGGATGAAGGGGTGCAGAGAGGCCTTGCTGGACTACTACACAGCTATAATGAGATCTATTGGTATTGCGGCATTGCTTATCTGGTTGTTTGAGGTAAGCCTCATGAAAATGCTCTGTGTTTGGTGTATCAGAGATTTCCTGCTCTCCAGGATGGGGAATAAATATGCTGTAACATATGAGGAGTGTAAGAAGCACCTCAACATCTAAAACAAGTCCATAACGACTTCAGCAATGTTGCAGGACTTTCCTCTAACACGCAGTTTGCACAAAGCATCCAGTACAGAAGTAAATCTCATTGAAGATGAGAACTACTAGAAGTGATGTACATAATTCTGGATATTTAGAGCTTTTTCAACAGATTATGGCATATTCACCTTTTCCTAGAACATTTACAGGGCAGCACGCAGGATAACACATCCACTAACACAATTAATAGGTGGAAGGCATGAGACTGTTAAAAGGCAATTTTTCTTAAGAAAGAGTATTAAAAATGTGAGGCAGACCTATGGTGAATGTATGAATGCCTTCCACAGCCAAAATTGAGCGTAAACATTAATAGCTCAAAAATTCCCTTATAGATAGCATAGCTTTACCACATAAACATGGAATACGTTTTAGGTATAGACTAGACTACTTATTATGTAGTCAAAATAAGCACTTCAGTGGCAAGTATATACATTTGCAAAAATGCAGTCTTTCTATTAGTGCCTGTAAAGAAAGTTGTCATCTCCATGCCAAGGATCACAATGGCATGGGCTTCTTCACTCTTTAATAGTAGATTTTTCTGATTATTACTCTATCGCATAAATATGAACATTATTAAAATAATTCAATGCAACAGTCCTCAGACAGTGCTAGATTGGGTGGTGATGGCAGAAACAGCAGACCTTTGGCAACTCATGGAAAACCTGCTCACTTCAGTGTGACAAACAAGCTAGGCACACTGATCCTGATGCCAACGAGACCAATGAAAACTGTGTTTTATACCTAAACTCACACTTGAGCCTCTGTAGACCATCCTTGCTCATTTTTAGTGCACTGGCATGTAGGATGCATATTGCCTACTTAACGAATGAAACACCTTTGATGAAACACCAATTTAATGAATGTCAGTGAGGAAAGACTTCCACAAAGATTAACAGACTAGGATTTTTCATCCAGCCACTGATGTCCCCATTAATTGATCATCTATTTTGCACTGATTAGCCACAGTCTGAGGCTACAACATTCCCAGGTAATTCCAGGTATCTGTGCACTAATCACATTAAGTGGGAATGCTATCTGAAGAGTGGGAGAAAAAATAGCAAAAAAGTTTCTCCTTGGTATTTTTTTTATTCAAAAACATGTAATTAATTGATTGTTTAGATACATAACTGGGAAAAAAAGCTATTTATTTTACTGAGAATTAGGTCTGTACATAATCAAGTTCAAAAGCTGACTTAGTGGTAGGACTGTAACTTCAGCTCTGTTTAAGCACTAACCTTTCCTTACAGCTCTCTGTACTTATTGGTGTTCGGTACCTACAAACAGCAATGAAGAACACTCTGCTGCGAGGAGATCTGCAGGGTGAATCAGATGGCTGGTTACTAGAAAACAGCTTTATGGAAACTGCCAAACACAACATCAATATTATCAAGAACCTTGGCAAAGCCAACCAGATCTCCACTGTCTCAGGCATGAATGATCCCAACATTAATGTTCAAAACACAAACTGTGACAAAAGCAATGTTACAGCAAAATCTATCCCTGCAGCCAGCTAGACAAGTCTTCAGCAAAATGATGGCTCAGTTTTGATATACTACGATCTTAGACACTGGACTTTCACTAATGGGAAAAAAAGCAATATGATAACTGAACAAAAATAGACTGGTTACAGCAACAGGATGTTGATGCTTCTTTGGCAGGATGTATTTTCTTTACCAATTCTAATGAAATTCTTGATTTTTGTATGTGTACAAAACAGTCTTTTGAATTTTTCCCTCTTCGTCTCCCCTGCTTACACATTCCTGTCCTGGTCTGAATAGATCAGAATAATGATTACACATAACGGGACGTACAGCTTGGATCAGTATGTTCTAGATAGGATTCAAGTAGTTTGTGATTACTGTCACATCTTCAGAAATCCCAGCTGCAGAGAAATTTCATCAGAAATAACTTCTCTGGATAAAAAGGTTATTAAAAGAAAGAATGATCACTAACACAGAAATGAAGATTGAACTAAAGTCTAAGTTACAACAGGTAAATTTTAAGCCAAATTGAAGTATATTATCACTCCTCCAAAATAACTTATTAGCTAAGTAAAATTGAAATCAAGTTAAAGGCAACAAAAGTTGGTTTGTCTAGTGTATGTAACTTGCTTTGTTTTTTAACAATCTGAAGACAAACTTAGAGAAAGCCAGCTGGCCTGAAAGTTAGAGCACTATTAAAAGGAGTTCTCTGCTCAAAACCACTAATTGATAGCTCATACAGGATATTAAAACTCCAAGTAGCACGTGCTAGCACGAGAGTAAAAATAAGCAAATACTTCCCATAAAACAAATACTGATGGCCCCAGATGTTAAAAATGCTCATAATTTCAGGAGTAGCTATACAGATCCACAGGCTGGAAAACAAGAGATTATTTGCAACCAACAAAGACCAAGATAGATTGTCATCTCTCCCATCACGTTCCTAGTACAGTGCTTATGAAGTTTGTATGTCAATGTACAGCACAAAAGCCTTTCTGTACTTGCAGTAACAGGATGCCTATGCTTAATTCATCAGTAATAATACGGCTTTAAGTAGTAAAACATATACATACAGAACAGAGGATAAAAAAACCAAAATATATTACTTGATATCTTGTGAATAACACACTATTTGAATATAACTTTGGTCACTGTGCACTCTTTGTATATAATCAACAAAAAGGAATAATCCCATCAGTATGATATTCAAAGCAGAACTATTCTGCTCTTCAAATTGTACAAAATTAAGAGTAAGAATTACTTTACCTGTCCCAACGTTGTTTTCTATGACACTACAGTACGCAAGAATTATACTTTGTGTGATGGAAAAATCTATATTGTAAGTCAAGCAAGCTATATGCATGATTGTAATTGCAAATGCAGTTGCATCACTTAAGTATGTTAAAAATAAAAATAGAGAGGTCTATACTACAGGTCTGTCTGTAGCAGTAACCGTAGCTGAGGTTTTACAGAAAGCACACGAGAAGCAAGACCACTAGGAAATACTTTTTTCCTGACAAAGCTTCCTAACTTCCAGGAAACAGCATATTGTTAACTTGGTATGATTGTATATGAAACAAATGTTTTAATAACTCTCCATGGATTTTTTTTTCTATGAATTTGTACAGTGTTTGTTTTTTTTTTTTAACCCATTCATGGTTTTCATATCCAAAACGCAGATTTTGATTTCTCACAACTCAGCTTCGCATTTCTTGAAAAAGTGCTTTGCTTTTTGACTCCCTAACCTCAATGCATATCCCTTCATCTTTGCTGTAAGATGCAGCTGATAGTCATCCCTTATTTATTCTCTTCATGCTGTCCCTGATTTTACTGTCCTCTGTTAAAAATCTCTGTCCAATCTTCCCAAGTTGAAGAAGCTGCTATTTAATCTTTCTGCCTATTGAAATTATTGCTCTTCTTTGGCAGTTTTTGTAACTCTTCACTATTCATGATTTTTAAATGAAAAACAAGGTAACACCGAGGATGTTATGAATTAAACTGGCTTTCTGGCTTTTTCCTAAGACTTCCTGTCATTGCTTGCTTTTTTGTAAGTCTGAGCATTTGGGTAACATTTTCACAAAGCCATCCATAAAAATATCAAGGCAAAAACCAGTGCGTCATTCCTTCAAACATTTCTGAGAGCCAAAAATATCATTTCTGCTCTACAGCTGTTATGCTGTTTCTAATTCTACCTAATGCCCTTGGGCACAATCCTGACTCCCTTTCTTTTCTATCTTTCAGTGTGGTAATGACAAAATTCCATAGAGCTTTATTACTGGACTGAAAAACGCCCAGCTTTTATGTCTCACTGAACTAAGAAAAGTACACCCACCTTTTAGACTATGAGACAAAACAAACTTCAGTGAACCTGGGAAATACAATCCCAAAGGAAGCAGCTCATGGTTTGCAGAACACTCAGCACAACAGTTTCCTGAGCCTACCAGAAACATTAAGATTAGATGATATAATACTGGAAAAAGAATGAACATTGAAAATTGACATTTTTACATATTAAGGAGAAAGGCAGTCATATGCTGCAAATTGAACACTTTTCAACATAATATGATAAAAATGCAATTTTTACCTGTATTTTTCTTTTTTTTTTTTTCAGACCAGCATGCAGAGCATCACATGCTTCAGTAAATAAACAGTCATTTTTCCAGTAAAACTGTAATCCATCTATATTTGGAAAAACAGTTCTACGTCGCGTGATCACAATTAGGGAAGAAAAACAGAGTGACAAACAGAACTTTGGCTTCATTAGGAAAAATGAATCAAGAGGATTTGATAGAAATAATTTTAAAAAATAAAATACTTTAAAAATAAAAGCAAGGAATAGTTCAGCTTGATGAAAATGGTTGTAAAACATGGAAAAAAAGCACAAACTCATATTTTTAGAGGGGATTTTTGCTCAGTATTATACAAAAAATTTCCTGATGGCAAAACACATTTAACTTCAGAAGCAGATGAAACCTGGCATCGCGTGCCACGTACAATCTCTCCAGACCATTTATTTAGCTTACTGAATTACAACAGCTTTGTCCAGTTCTCTAGCAGAGGTCCCTGTTGGTCATGAACTTGCTCTAAAAAAACAGGTTCAGCAGAAGAGCGAGCTGAAACGACCACCCAGACCGAGTGTCTCTGTAAAATGACACAAAGCAAAAGCAGTACGTAGTGCTGTGCCACATCAGCACGAAGAGCAGTGGTATCAATAGCCAGCTACACTTTTCCTATAGTTCACACAGATTATTTTCCCATGAAGAGGACACATTTTTACCATAAAAAAGTAATATTTGGTTTGTCAATCTTTCTTTCAGACAACTGCTGAAAAGATGCAGAAACGGCTGTGTGAAAACTTGTGAAATTAACTTGTGTAATTAACTAATTACTGCCACCATATAAAAAAAAAAAACCCTCAGGTAACAGTGCAGACTTTCTTTAATTCTCTGTAACGTATAAAGACAAAGATGGCATTAGCAAGCCAAGCCTATAATCCGTAGCATCTGCTCATATACAGAAATAAATACGATTTGTGGGACACTTCTTATCCTATTTGTTATTAACGCCTAATCCAGTCAGAATTAATAACAATACATTTGTGTAAGAAACTCCAGCAACTGAAACGTTTTAATGTTCGGTTCCTGCTGAAGGCACTGCGATGGCTCCTGCAGGAACTGCAGTTATGATGCTCTTCCTTTAAAGCACTCTGACTACTGCTGTACATTGATCATAAAGAAGAACATAATGAATCACATATGAATACTGCATATTAAGAATCACATTTGTTCTCCCTTAGAAGCTGGAAACCTCCCCAAACTGGTTTAACTGGTGTGTGATCATACAGCTCTCTCCAGTACAACAAATAACATTGAAACCTGACAAATCATTTGGAACACATTTTATCAGTTTCCCACCGTGGTAACAGTTTAGTCTCCACACATGATACTCCTACTCCATAGTTTAGAAAAATCAAAAAGGTATGAAAGATCAAAAAGGTATGAAAGCCCACATCACCTAGGTGGCTCTTACAAGGACTGTATCACATAAATGGATGCTCCTGTGCCAGTCTGCTGCTTTATGCCAAGGCATGTAACAGAGGGGGCTGCCTGAAGTCACACTGTTGTGCATTATCCACCTGAGAAAACCAAATTGCTCAATTCTGTGCATGTCTGAACTGGGAAAATAAATATTCTTCGATCATTTTTCAGTATCACAATCCTAAAACACATTGGTTTTGCCATTTTTAATTACAGCATAATTCATAGAATAAAAAAGCAGACCAAAGAAACCTGGAGCATTTTTATCATCTTAGGCAGATTATTTCTCAAGCTGCCACGGTTATGTTTTGCAAAACCTTCAAGCAGAAACTCGAAGGTGCATCGGAATGGCCTCTCTCCAAGTCCTAGACTGCACTTAACTACCTTTACCTAAAGCTAGTATTACAGTCCAGGTACTGCGAGGAGACATTCTGTGGTCTGCAGAAAAATCCCTGCCACAGTTCCCCAGAGATAAACGAAGAGCTTAAAATGGCCAAACCCAAGTGCCAGTCCCTGCTTCGCATGGTGTGCAGGCCCACTCCTTCAAGCATGAAGCCTAGAAATTTCCTAGGTCAGTCTGATTCTTAATTGTGACAGCCTATAATTAAATTGCTTAAACTACAGTCCTTTTTCCTGACAGTGACCTCATAAACAAGCAATACAAAAAGAAGCTCAGGCTCAACTTTCAGTATTTCATGTTTAACTTAATACCTGGTCTCACCCTTAATCATCACTGCAAGAAGCAATACATGTAATTTCAGGTCTCTCTCTCAGGCACATTTTTTGAACAGCTCCTCTTTAATCTATACATTCAACCACACAACATAAGCTTCCAGAAACGGAGCTAGGACTAATTGGATTTTAGAGACTTGTAGAGAAGTCAGTATTTGTTTTTCATTTGTTTTCTGTATCAGCAAATAAATTCAGCCTCCATCTGCAAAACATAGATAAAAAATACAAGATTGTGCCACAGAAATGAAACAATTTTCATCTTTGAAGAAAACATATCACGGCCATAATCATCCTCCATATTATTTTCTACATTGTACCAATCAATCAGTTAGAGACCTTTGAGTATTACCTTATATGCTTACGACTTCTTTTAAAAATTGAGATAAACACTGCAGGAGTCTGCATCTTTGAAATATTAGCATAAGTTTCAAGTGGAATATTTATTTAAATAAGAAAAACTGCCACCAGTACTCACTGGTACAATGATGATGCGGATCACAGTTCACCACTGTTTAATAATTCTTCCATTTTTCCATACTTGCAGACCTTCTGTAACACTCTTGCAAAAATCAGAAGTGTGAAAGTGCCTCCAAATAAAAGTGGAATAATCTATGAGAAGTTACTTTATTTCCTTTTTTAAATATACATATACAAGATATTTTATTTCAAAAGCACAAGAACATTATACAAGTTTCAAATTTACATTTTTGCAATTAAAGAAACCAATATGTGCATTATCAAATTTCTTCTGTCAGCCTGGATGGAATGAAAATTGGTGGCATAAGCATCTTGTGATCACTAAATACAGATCATACTCACAGTGAACAAAACTGCATAGTAATTTATGAAATGAAAGATGACCACACCAGTCAGTGAATGATATGGGAGCCCATTTGCTAATGAGTATGTGCAAACATACGTGGAGACACAACTTTGCCCCTTTTCTTTCTCTCTCATTTTTCCAACTACACACATATTTCTAGAGCTTCAAACAAGAGCTCACCTGTTCAAACCAGCTGCCATCTTTACAAATATATTACAGTTCAGACAGAGAACATAACACTGATTTCACCTCACCATCGATATCAGAATTTATTACTGAAGTGCAAGGTTACTGAAAGTTTCTGATAAATGAAAAGCTAGAACTCTGAGCAAAAAAAAAAAAAAAAAAAACAAAAAAAAAAAAAAAACAAACAAACAAAAAAAACAGAAGAACAACACAGTTCTGGTATCAATAAGCCACAATTTCCTAGTCTGAACTCATGTTTTTCTTGGTAAAAAGTGTTTTAATGTCCTTAGATATCTTCAGCAATTGCAAGCTTTCATCACAACTCCTCTTCTAAATTCTTTACATGTTTCAAATACATTTTAGATAAGTCTAATAGAATTATGCTTGTCTTTGAAGGGTTGTATATTCAGATTTAAAATCTGCAAGAATCAAGATAAGGACAATAGTCATAACTGCAAGAAAAAAAGGCCTAGAAAACACTCCAAAGTCAGCTGTTTATATCACCAGGGAAGGATTACTACAAAAGTTCTTGAAGAGAAAAAAAAGAATTGCAAATCATAATATTCAAGTCTACCTGTACTCCATTTGTAGATGAATTATGGCGCTGTTCAGCGTACTCATGTACTCTAAAAGCTTTAAGAAACTAGGGGAACAGCTCTAATTATATCTAAATCATTATCTGAGAATCTACCTGTCAGTAAAAAAATTAAACAAAGGAAACAATAGAAAAACAAATTCTCAGATATTATTTTGAAAACTTTCCCTTGTGAGCCTTATTAAAATGGCATTAAAAAAAAATCCAAATAGCAAAAGGAGAAGGAATTAAGAATATTGAAAACTTCCAGCTTTGACGCCAATGTGATTTCCTTGGAAAGCATTTTTACCCATTACATAACTAATTCTTTCATGTATATTACAGCTGTAATTCAGAAAACAAAAGACATTTAGAACTGAAGCACAATCCTACAGCATTAAGAGAGAGCTCAATCACGATGTGCCATAAACTACTTAAGGGCAAAGAGACATACTTATCTTCTTTCACTTTTCTGCTCCAAGTACTGAATGTGACCCCCAAAACACGTTTTCATTTATGCAGGCATGGCTCCAAACAATTGTGACAGAGGATGAAGAGTGGAAAGTTTCCCAAACACAGGCAAATAAATTTATTTCTAATTTCAAGGCTGACTGATTTAGGGCCTTGATTTCAGTCCAGTGACAGCGTTGAAGGTAGTCTACTTTATTGAAGTCTCAGGCTCCTATGTAACTTGCAGAGATATACTACAGCAGTTATTTTCCTGTTTGGCTTTCAAGAAAAAAACCATGTAAATAACTGAAAGAAGTAAAACTAACCAAAACCTAACCAAATGCTGCAGCCCTAGACCTCTCAGGATATACAGCATTAATAGAGGACAAATTCATTAGATAAAGTGCGGTTCCGGCAGTGCGAAAAGCACAGACTATTCTTTTAATGGAACAAACAAGATGGTAATTCCACTTTCTATGCATATTTCTCCTTTAAAGAGTTTATTGATAAAAACTCTTCATTAAATTCCAGGATATAGCAGAATGCAGGCTTTTTTCATACAACTTAATGTTTGCTGTTCCTGTTACTACAGATTACTACAGGCTTGGTACTACTACCAACCCACAGATCTTAACATATTTAAAAGTCACACTAAACCTGGGAAAAGAAAGAAAATAAAGTTATTTTTTACTCAGCAACACCAGTTAAGTATACTCTCAAGGCAAGGAAGAGACAAATATATGTGCCCTGAAGCACAGGATTTGGAAAGCTGTCCTCGTCAAACATGTGAGACGATAGCAACTTTTCAAAAAAAAAAAAAAAAAAAGTGGAAATATTTCTGGATCTGAATGTTCAGTAACAATTATACAAGGTAGTTTTCCTTTTGAGAAATAAAACAAAGCAAGACAATTGACATGAAATTCTGTTTCAATGTATCAGCACTACATTCAACCTAGAGAATCCATCAATTGC